CGTACAATATGCACTTGACGAGTAGCTAAAGTGCGAACATTATAAAAAGCCAGTAGAGCAAATGTGATCATAATGAAAGTGGGTAAACATTCAAGAAGAATTGGAAAATAGAAACGACTATAATATTTCGAATAAGCTGAATTTAGAATTAAACAGTTGCCAGAAGATGTCTCGTAATAGATGAGAAGTAAAATACTATGCAAAACCCAAATGAGAGTAGCAATAGCAGTGTTTCGATGAGCTAATCGTAAACTACTCAAATGCGGGTGAGTAATTGAAAAGAATTGATCGATTGTTGCCAAACATATGCTGGTCAAAGACATAATTATACACAATGATACGGCAAAGGTGCGAATCTTGCAAAACCATGATACGCCTAATGGATTCAATTTGAAGCCATCAGCAAGAGATCGAAAGAGAACTCCAAAAACCATTGCCCCAATATTGGCAATTGAGACGATTGTTAGATAAAATGCACATGAAGTTTCTCGAAATGTTTTTAATGACGTGAAAACGATAATATTGAGAAATCCGCCGACTATTCCTGTAATAAAAACAAATAAGCCCAAGTAGATACTGATCTGTTGGTTGGCGTTCCGAAAAAACTCCGTAGTCGACGACGATGACATCAATCTAACTTGCAATCAAAGCACTGAAAACAAAATACGCACACTTATATTAAACACAACTTCTAACATTTTCTAATAATGTTAATGAGGTCTTTTTTTATGTGTATTACTGTCAGATTTTCATGCAGGCCCTACATTTTCTATTATGGAGTTGTGACATGCACGAGATACACCTGCGTATATATAGTTTTACTCTAGTTAAACATAGATATATCATCAGTACAGAGAGAATGACAGTTCCGAACCGTCAAAGTCATTTAGATATATGACATTTACAAGCGCTGATGATCACATTCTAATTATACTAGAGTTGGAATATAGTCAATGATAATTCGAATCAGATCAACAGATATAATATGAATCCATGGGATTTATACCACTTTTCTGGAAAAAGCTTTTTTGTCATTTTGAGTCATAAGCTAGACCGAAGAATACTGGCAATTACTAGTAGTCAAGATGAAAAGTACCACTTGTACGTAAATTTCCGAGATCTAGGTCATTTTTGAGGAATATTAACGGCAAAAAGCCTCTGACATATTCCTCTCTATCGTGTTTTCATAGAATGTTTATTAAGAATGGCCTAGATTTCGAACCGAACATGTTTCATTCCAGCTGCATACTATTTCCGACAGATTTCTGTCTAGCTGACTTCTCAAAATAGAAAAAAGAAATTTTTGTTTCAAATCAAAATCATTTTCCAAATTGTGATATAAAATCTAAATGAAATCTACAACATCGAGAAACGAATTACAAACGTTAAAGGTGATTTCGTTCTCTACGATGCAGGTTTTTTAATTGTTGATAGTAAACGAAAAGAAGATGTGGCTATAGCCAATGGTTAATCTATCATGAAAAGTTTTTCCCATTGTAAAGAAATCATAATAGAACTATCACCTTATAAGAGATAAAAAGAAAGAGGATATAATATCATTCAACCATGCCAAAATGAAAACATCTTTACTGGCCAGTAAGTTATCGACCGATGAATTCTACTAATTTTGTAACTTGATGCAAAAAAAGAAGAATATATACTGTCAGAAAATTCAACTCCAATTTAAGTTCATTCATGTCAAAAGATGTGTACTCGTGACTACAATACGCAAATTCGGATCTTCAGAATAGAAATGTACGAAACGAAGTTTTCAGTCTCAGTCTCATAAATTTTTCGACATGTTATCCCGATCTTCTTCTTTCTATATTGAACTTTATTGTAGCATGAATAGTTCACAAAAAAAGGGAAAGACAACATCGAACTAGTTTTTGCCAAAAACATACAGTGCCCTTCCAGAGACGCACCGTTAGTTGAACATACTACCAACGAAAAAATGATTGCGAATCGTATTTTTGGTATACAATATAGAATTTTTGATCACTCAGACTTGAGCCTTTCTGTAGAAGATTCGCCGTGGAATTCCCTACAAAACTATATATTCTGTTCAACGAATATTATCTCCGTCGGTCTTTTAAAACAGTAAAACTTTCTGAACCACATACGAATAATTTCCAAGATTGTTATTTTTTTCAATTCTTTTTGAACTTGCATTTTTTTTTCTCGCATTACTTTTTGTTGTGTCATGTCACGTTTCCCGCTCATAATTTGAACTAATTGATATGACACAACAAACAGTAATATGAGGAAAAAAATCCAGAATTAAAAAAAATTGAAAAAATGATAATCTTGAAAATTATACGTAATTGATCTTGATAATCTTCTTCGGACAAAAAAAAACTACCTTTTTTCATTTCATTTTTTCATCAGTTAATATGTTGTTTTAGTGAAACAAAATATACCACAAGATGCAGCGTGAAAAGAACTATTGTTTACAAAATTAACAAAAATTCTGTGCGACTATTTTTTGACACCGGGATCAAAATCATCTTCTGATGCATGATCAATTCATTGTCTTTTTGTTTTGAATAATGAACTGTATCTAAAACCATAATCGATGGCCAAATAATGAGATAAAGTTAAAAACAAAGATTCATTAATTGATGGCATTAAGAAAGGAATTGATCATATATCAAAAAATGATTTTGATTGCAGCGTCAAAAATTAGTCACACAGAATTTCGTCTATTTTAAACACACAAGATTAATATTTAAATAAAGGGTGTGAGTGTGGCGTGTGGATGATCTTCTATTCTCTCAGAGCCACGCCCACATCCACACCCTGCGAGCATCAAATTGAACTCAAAAGGCGTCCATTCAAGAGCTCTCGTCGAGATCTATCTAAAGTCATCATTGGTTTAGTTGGACCGGCAGGCGAGCAAATCGAGACGGTTTATTCGGTTTTTTTCGGTTGTTTCATTTAGTTTTTGCAGTAAAGTGGGATTTTTATTGCGATGGAAGGTTTTTTCGGGAGAAAAGTAGTCGAATCGATAGATCTCATCGAGATCTACTTGGAACCGGCTTCAGTACGAATCGCGCTGGGAAATACTCGAATCCTGATCTAGGATATCCTATGTGCTGTTGATGAAGATTTACCACAAAGCTTCATCAAGCATACATACAAAGTTGAGAATATTTTCAAATCAGCCGATGCTATTGTCGAAAACAATATTGAGCCACAATTGATTGAAATTGACGAAGCAGAAGATTCAGCAGCAACAGATGACAATGAGTCTGGTATTTCTGAGTGATAATTTGTATTCGTCCCTCTTCTGTACCATTTACACTTGTGACAACTTCTCTGATGCATACATATGTCGTTGTGATCAAATATACAGAAAAAAAAATAAACATGAACGAGTAAAAAATGAATGTTTCTTTTGAATCGATTAGTGAAGATCGACAGAAATAGACATACACGAGATGATGTGACGAAAATCAAAGATCTTCAATCATCTAACTAATAACGTTACAATAATCAGTCGATTCTATTACCTTTATGGATGAGAGGTCTGAGGCAGAAAATTTTGAAAATTAATCATCATTCGATTTCAGGAGATTTTTTCTTGTATCTCAGAGACACATGAGAGAAGACTGTAACTTTCAACGTTTATAGAGCAAATGCTCGGCGACAATTTGGCTAAATTGAAATTAAGAATGTATGTAATCAAAAGAGCCAGTCAGAGTTTTATAAAAAAAAAAACATTTGCACAACTTCTATAAAACTTCCAAAGCTCATTGACTCTCAGCTATACAGGTACTCCCAGGTACCCTTTGTCTAACGGTGAAAACTGCAATTCGATAGCTATCAGCGTTGCAGAGTTATTAAACAAACAATCGAGTCCACTTTATTTTGAAATGGATAATAGTTTTCTTGTTCTTCATTTTTTTTTGTTGTGTTTTTTTGTGTATTGCTTCTTCTGCTATTACCTATTGTTATTGAGATTGTTTGTTTCCAAGTTTGAATAGCTGCTTCAAAAAAGAACTTAACCAATATTGGTTGAAAAATAAGCCGCATTATATTAAAAAAATATGCCTATTTTCAATCGGCAAGAGAACTATATTAATTCGTCTATTTCAAATAATATTAGTACCAATTGATGCTGAAAATTGACGTCGATTTGAACAATTAATTGAATTTGTTGTTTTTGTTCCTTTATTTTAATTAGTAGCTACTTTACGTAGAAAAGAAAATGAAAAAGATAAAAAAAATGCTATAGATGTGGGGTGTTGGTGTGGCTGTCGACATTCATCTACGCGTTAACGACATCCGCAACCACCCACACATCGTCTTACCGAGTAATCGAAACTTTGATGAGTTATGAGATGTTAAAACATGTTTGAGCAATGGAAATCGACTGTCCGATAGTATGCAGTTTTCAAGTGCTAGAAATTTGATGACTATCGAGACGCTCGAAATTGGAACACAACGAACAAAAAATGCATATTTAAAATTTTTGATCTCCTCCGCATGCTGCCCACCGTATGCTTTTCAAAGTTTGTTTGGAAAGGAGCAAAGTGTTCGAATTATTAGTTTTGGTGAAAAATTGGCGATATAGGAAGTAATTGATGATTTATTCTAAACTAATGTTGTCGTTTGTAAAATTTTTACGTTGGTAATATATTTTTTCAAAAATTATGTGAATAAGATGTACTCATTAAAGTCGAAAACGATTATCTGACATGACTAATAGTTTATTTTTTCCTTTCGTATAAATAGTTAGATTCTTATGTAAAATAATATCTAAACTGTTTTGATAAAAGAATGACTCTGAATTTCTGCTATCAAACATGAAAAAAAAAAGAATAAATAGTAGCTAAAACCTTGAAGATATATGTAGGACAAACAAAATTTTAACTTCAAACAATATTTAACGTTTATAATTTTAAGAGCTTTGACTCTTGAAACTTCATAATTTAAAAATTTAATACATAATCATTCGAAAAACAATGAAAAAATTTCTGATCATAATTATTTTATTCATGATCATATCAATCTGTAAATCAGAGCAAGAAGATCAACATATTATTCATGCTCTATTTGGTGATATATATAAAAATGATATTGTTTATTATGGATTCGTTGATCTGGATAAATCCGAATACAATATATTAAGTACAGTAAATGTCGATGATGTTGGAAATCCTCAAAAAAGAAAACATCAAATTGTACCATTGACATATGATCCTTCAAATGATATTGTATTTATGTCAGCTATAAATAATCAAAATAAAACAATATTAAGTGTAATTGATGCTACAAATGGTATGCTTTTACATACATTTAATTCAATTCCTAATGAAATTATTTCTCTTCAATATGATATATTCAATAATAAATTATTTGCACATGCTGAAACTAATGATAAAAATTTAACACAAATTGTAGAAATCGATACAAATAATGGAAATTTTAGGACAAATATCTGGAGCTAAACCAACTGATATATCAAGTTATTGTCCAATTTGTAGAACATATTTTCTTATTATGTTTGAAAATAATCATTTTATGTATGCTGCTGTTAATACGAGCGATGGTGGTGGAATTAGTTGGAGAGTACCATTAAATTTTTCTCCTCTTAATATCAGATTTACTTATAAAACTTTTTCAATGTACTCTGCCTATATAAATCAAACAGATAGAACGACTTTACAAATTGGAATAGTAGACAGAACAACAGGAAGTATTGAAAAAGTTGTTGGAACTGTTTCTAATCAAACTAATTTATTATTTACTCAATTTTCGGCATTTGATATAGCTAATAGTTTATATTATACATCAAATATAATGACTGTGCCTTATTCTAATGGAATATCTTATCTTAATGTGAATACATCAGAAACAAAGAGAATTTCTTTACCAGAAAGTAACTACAAATTCTATGCATGGTTTATTAAGCAATTTGTTCCATAAAATAAAACTTATGTGATTTTTTTTTCTTTAAAAACTTTTCGTATCAAAAATAAAATCTATCCCTTCACAATAATTTATATCAATCTAGTCTCATATGAATATTTAATTATAAAAAAAAAAGTTACACTCGATCAAATGAAAATGGAAGATTTTTTCTAAGCGTTAACCAATAGAATATAACATTATACGCACACACACAGTCCAACAATGAGCAAGAGGGCGATTTGTGTGACCAAAATGTAGATAGATATTCAACATTTAGCCACTAAATCAAACAATCCAATGTAATTACTAAATTTTGCTCTTTGTTACAAAGATAATCACTAAAACGAACAAGAGCGTTGGTGTGGACGTGTGGGTGTGTTTCTTCCCGTAATCTACACCCACACCCACATCCATTAATAAATACGGGTGTGGGTACGAGTCTTTACTTCATTCGCCCACACACTCACACCAACATGAGCACTCTTAAAATTTTTATAATCAAAATTAAGGTACCTGATCGCTATATCTCCTATTGCTATTATTATAACAGTATTTATAATCATACACATCCGAGAGAAGCACAAAATGTAATACCAACGTAGCGAAAAACAGATAAGCTCTCTAGTGAATTGAAATCACATTTTCTGATTACTCACAAGAATCGTTTTAACAAGAACTCAAGGTAATAACGATGTGAGTGGGGATGTGATTGATTATTTCATTGATACCTATACATACGGCCACATCGATTATTCTCTCGATTCGATCCTTGTTTATCAACATATTTACAAGCATTTATCCGATATTTTATATGATGCACACTAGAAATATGGTATACCGAAATTGGTCTTTATTCAACTTTATTTTGATTTAGAAATGGAAACATATTTCATTTATATTAGTATGAGTAGTTCATCAATTCATGCAATGATTTGAATTCATAAAAAATATCACTTTGAAGATACTCAAAATTTGTTTATGACATGCAAAGGTTTGTCAATAATGTTTTGTAAAGGTAACTTTATAAGAATAATTTATATTAAATAAAAACTATGTTCGTTCAAATATCATCAGATCTGTTATTAAAAAATACAAATTTATGATGTTTTATTGATAAATCATATTGGTATATGTTCGATCGAAATCATAACTCAAGTAACTATTTCCGTAATGATTCATTGTTGGCACATTGTTTCCATTGTGTGACTAATCAATATAACAAAAGTGATATATCGATTAGAGATTATTCCATTTGTGTTTGCCTTAATTCAATATACGAGAACTAACTTTTGTCTTAGATTCGCTGCAAACTTAAGATAGAAATTTAATATAAATGATTTATTTGATATTTGTCGTTATGATTTTCTTTATTGTTTGACTAACGAATTATTGACTTTTTATTTTTAGTTTTGAAGGAATAATTCCACTTCAATTCAGTGTTGACAATTATCTTCTTATTATTTTATTATTCAGTCTATTTTCTCTTCTGTCACATCTTAGGAAAATAATCGATATAATATTGTCGAGTAATGTTTCATGTCAACTCATCTCGTTTCTTTTTTTTTTTGCAATGACACAAAACACTTATTGATTAATAAACTAAATTACTTTCTCACCAGTCTGTTGCGTAGTTTTTTTAGCAGAGTTATTCTTCATAAAAGAAGCAATCATCAACTGTTATCAATTAAATGAAATTTTCGGTCATATTCACTATGCATATTTTAAAAATGACCTTCAACCAAACAACCGATCTTAGTCGACAATTTATTTGCTTTACTGATTTCTGTCAATATTTCCGTCATCTACAACTATCTCAATGTTTTTTTTTTCTCATCATCTAAGTAGTTCCATTGTCTATTTAAATTATCTCGATTACAATATTAATTCTACTAGTTGTTTCTAGCCGTTCATGTGTAACAAACGTTGAAAGTATTTTTATACAAATACTTCAAATACAATTTAATAATCATAAACAATTGCACTTATCGCTATGTGTAATTTAAATAGTAGATATAGAATGTGGGTGTAGATGTACGTTTAATGATAGAGATTGAAAATTTTCAGAATAATTCATTTTTCAATTTAAATAGATATTTTAGAAGATTCGATACTTCATCTTATTTTTTAATAAAAAAAAAAAAGAAAAACATTTAGCTTGTTCATTTGAACTTGAATTGCAAAAATATTTACACTTCCAAAAGAATATTTTTGAGGAAAAATTGGTTTATTTTTTATCTAATTCCTATGAAAAAAAAACCATTCTTTCAAGATAGACTAATATAAATACAAAAATCAAAATGGTAGGCATAATTCATTGTTATTCTTTTAGAGAATTTGACGATACATCTTTGCAGACAAAAATTCAATATTATAGGATTTGCATATGTTGAGATATTTACAAAATACCCGATGTTATAATCATTTTGACTCACGCAATATTTACGTATCTAGATTAAAAAACAATTTGAAGTTACTATAATACCTGATAAGTTCGTCGATATTACTTAATTGCAAGATTCAGTTATGAAAAGTACAAAGAAAGATTTGTACAATACTTTAAACAGTGTTATAGAAGCAAGGGAAGTACGGATGAAGTACAAGCAAAGAAGAAAAAACGAAATTTTCATATCTTACTGTACTTCGAAGATATATACAAGCTTATATATGATGAATGCAAATTAATACAATCGTCACAGACATTGATAGTAGATTTGAAATAGTTAAAAAACTCTAGAGAATAGCTTTGAAATATCCTGGAAGTATACTGAAGTAAAGAATTTTCGCTTTGTCCTCCTTGCTTTTCAATCAGTCCTTATTTCAAAATATTACTTTTCATTTTTTAATAATTAATATTATTTATATTTCAAACAAAAAAAAAATAATAATAATAATAATAAGAACATTCAATTAATTAAAAGAAAAAGAACAAAATGATGACTAGGAACATAAATAAATATATAATTTAATCGTCGATGACAGATTAAAGTATTTATTATTGCTTATTAAAATAATAATTATCTATAATTCATCATCACCACCACCTTTATCAAATATATCATTATTATTTAATCGTTCTAAATCGGATTCTGTTCTTGTTGCAAGTCCATTAAACACTTTCGATGGAGTTTGTTCATTTGTTGTTATTGTTGTTGTTGTTGTTGTTGTTGTTGTTGTTGTTATCGGTGTAACTGGTTCGGCGGATGTTGGACTAGTTGTACCTCCTCTTTTTGCTAATATTTCATCGACCATACTTTGTAAGAGTATACTAATTAATGGTGCTTGATCTCCATGTATAATAATCCATTGTAAAGTATCTTTTTTAACTAAATATTCTAATGAAATATTCATATCTTGTTTTGTCCAATTAACTTTCCAACATCGAATACGTGTAACTTTAAATGAACATTCTTGATTTTTCTTTTTTTCATTTGAATTTAAACAACAAATAATTTCATTATTACCAATTGCTAATAAACATTCAGAAAGTTTTTGTTTTTTTGTATCATTTAATGGATAAAGAATTGAACATTTTTTAATTATATTATGACCATAAAATTTTGATGTACGTGCTAATAATATATAATCTTTAAATGAATTATTTTCACGTAAAACGTCTAATTGTTGATATATATCACTTGTATATAAATCATAACTTTGTTCAATTTCATATTGTGCTTGAACAAAAAGAAGATTACGTGCACGACGATCATCAATTAATTGTAAATCAAATTCTGAATTCCAATAAGATTTTTTAAAAACAATACAAGTTTGTTCATAAATTTTTTTTGTTTGTTTTAATGATACATATGGTGATTCAAAATCATATAAAGGTCGAAGAATATTTAAATGATTATCTTTTTGTTCATATAAATATAAAGAAAAAAATGATAAAAAATCTTTTTGTAATTGAATTTTAAGTGCACATGCATCAAGTAAACGTGATTTTGTATCATTAATTGAAAGATTTTCAATAATTATTTCATGATTATTTAATAAACATATTGTTAAATTTATTTTATGATCATTATCAGGTAATTCATTTGAAAATGTTTCTAATTGAGCATTAAAAAAAAATTCATTAAAATAAGATGATGTTATTATATATTTATTTTGTGCTATTGATTGTAAATGATGTTCAAGTAAAAGACGTCTTTCTTCGGTTTCTTTAGATGATAAACTAAAAAATTTTTTTGGAGGAAATTGTTCAATATTTATCATTGCTGTTGGTAATAAACGTTGAAGTTCTTCATTAAATTTACGTAATTGAGAATAACGTAAACTACAATGATGAAATCCATTGATATGAATATTGAATAAAGTATAAGATTGTTGATTACTACTAGTTTTAGCAGAAACGTCAGTTACGTCTGGAATGGAAAAATGCATCTAAACAAAAAAGAAAAGAAAAACTATTATCTAAACTCTCTTTCATAGTAGAAGACTTGGAATCTTCTAATTCGATTTTCAGGTAAAATAGCCTAATAAGTACCTTATTATGATATTATATAGTCATAAATAATAATGCATGTATGTGACACTTATTATGTTGATGATCTCTTTGATGCCATGAAAACGGTACTCATCCGATTAGATTTTAGATCTACACATCCATACTCAATATATTAACATACATTTTATGTGTACAAAAACAATGATCGATAGCAATCGGTGTAAAATGTAATTTGTTCGATTAGTATGTGGTATACTTTTCAACGAATTGAGTTCTTATTATATAATTAGTGCTATTATTTCTATGAAGATTCTACGTAAAATTAAACAGATAATTATAAGTAAATACAACGAATTGTAATAGTTTTTCTTACTCAAAGATTTAATCATTTTAATGTGTTCATTCGAACACTAACTGAAGCAAAAGTCAAGTTTAGGAATACAACAGTTTGAATGCGGCGAAAGAATTGATCAATAATTCAAAGGAGTTCATCGAACAGCTGTGGGTTTTTAGAATTTGAACCGATTGCTCAATAATCTAGAGCACAACGACATTTCAAGAATCTGCTCTTCTGGTTCTCTGCCTATGGAAAAAGATCGTAGAGAAAAGTTTTTGAAATTTTTTTCTTGGTCGTATAGAACACTCGGGTCTTCTAATACGCCTTTCAGAGTTTTGACCATGAAGGATCTTTTAATGCGTAAGGAAAGGGATTACAAATAAAATGTCAAGTATTGCACAATAACATATCGACCTAAGATGGTGACAAAAATTTTTATAACAACATATTTTTCGTTTTTTTTTTCTATCATGTTAACCACCTAGCTTAAATCCAGATAGTCATTTTCATAGTCAAACACGATAGTTTTCAGGTCCTTGAGAACTTTATCTGAACTATTTTTTAACAATACCATTTTAGTGTGCATAAAACTCTGAACAATAAGATTTTAAGAGAAAGTCGTAGAAAATACATCGACTGCTTATTTTGTTCAGAGTTTTGTAGTCTTTTAAAATGGTTTTGTTAAAAAATGGCTCCGATGAAGTTTTCAAAGATCTAAACACTATCGTGTCCAGTTTTTTATAAATCTTACTACCATAGTTCATCGATGAAATCTTGGTATAGAATGTATCAGATACAAAACTCCATTGACTATTAAGATCACTATCTGGATTTGAATTAAGTAGTTAACATAATAGAAAAAAAAGAAATCTTATTATTAAACTTTTTTTTTCACTCACTTTAATTTTTATGTATGTTGACTTCTTTTTATTACGTTAAAATAAAAGATACAAGACAAAAAAAAAATATATATAGATGTATAGAAATAAATGCGCATATACTAAAAATGAAAATATTCATTTTTATATACACCTTTTGTTCTTATCTTAATCGTTGAATAAATATACAAACGAAAAAAAAAAAAAAAAAGACGAACGATAACTCTCCAATGATAAAAAAAAAACAGAAATGACATAAAAAGAAGAATATTGACTGCATAAACTATTTACATTATATAAATGAAAAAAAAAAAAAAAATTTTTTTTTTTATTATTTTTGCTGAATTATTACTTGCAATTTTGATAAAACCGGAATGAGTGAATATTTCCCATAGAACAAAAATAAAAAGAATCACTCGAAAAGAAAAAAAAAAATGCATAAACTTCATGAGATAAATATAAGATTATTGCAAGAAAATTATCATTGAATACTGATTTTATTTATTCATCTGGTTTGTTCATATTATTCATCAATTGTAATTCACGAAGAATACATTCAAAACAATCATACATAAATTGTCCAAATAATGTTTGTAATTTAATTGATTTTGCTATTTTCATTGTTGAACGTTTATATTCAAATATAAAATATTGATCTTCAAGATAATATCGTTCAATAATTATCCAATCAAAATCTGCTATTTGATTTTCTTCTAATTTTCCATTATCAGAACAAGCATGTAAACGAAGACGTGTAGAATTTAAAGATACTATAACACAACCATTATTTTTACGTGAATTACATGGACATAAAGGAAATGTTATTGTATTATAAATATCAGTAAATGTTTGCGCATATTTTATATATTCAATTTCATTAAATGTTTTTAATGCTGATCGTTGATCGATTGTTAAATTTTCTAAACGACTTAATTGATCAATCGCCTAAAAAAAGGAAATCGACTTAAATTTAAATATAAAAGATTATGTTATTTATTGAATTTCTACTTTTAATTTAAATTTAGCAAAACAAAAAGAAAAAGAAAGAAAGAATTGTATACTTGTAGAAGAACAAAATAAAAGTTTAAACAACGAAAAAAAAAAGAATATCAAATGATTCATTGTAAGATAAGTGAGCAAAGATTACTAGAGTACACAATAAAAGTCCATATCTCTGTACTGAAACCTTTAGAATTAGAATTGAGTCAAAATTCACCAATGAAATTATTCATTTATTTTAATTATCAATCTATGTTTATTGATTATATTTACCTCTCGATAAAGATAATGACGTGCCAATGGATATTTTAATAGTTGATTTTCTAAAATTGGTGAAAAAATAAATTTATGTAAACATAAACAAGTTGCAGTAGCTGTACAACAATTTTGTATATAAATTTGATGTGGATATTCATCGGAATGAAGTTTTCGTTCTAAATTAATTATAAAACTATTCAATAGATTTTATCTTTAAAAAATATACCAAAAGTATAATCAACAATTTCAAAAAGATAAAAATTTGGTATACATTGTTCTGATAAACCAATCTTTTCTACGATCATCTAATATTATATTTATATGATTAATGAAATAATATTATATTTTGATACTGACTTCATAGACTTGATCAGCCGTAGATGAACGTTTTATTTTAATCATCTTTATTGATCGATCAGGTAATTTTATTTTAATTTCAACATCAATCGAAATTGAATCATCCTAGAAAATATTTCAAGAGAAATTTTAAATTATTAAAATTATTAATTTTTTACTTGATAAATATCAGCCGATAGAAATTCTTGTACTAAATCACAATCACTAATAACACGAACTGAACAAACTAAATATATATTTTTATAGTTTAAAAGAAAAATTTCTTTTGTTTATTTTTACTTTTATCAAGATATTGTTCAAGACCACGTCGTCGTGCATCTAATTGTTGATCAGATAATTTAAATGGCCATTTTTTTGGTAAACGATTAAATGGAAAATCTGGAAATTCATGTTTTAATTGTTGATGTAATGAAGCAAATTCTCGATAACGTCGAGAACATAAATGACGACCTAATAGAAATAACAAAAAACAAAATAAAATTCTAATAAAAAAGACAATTCACCAGCAATATGAATATTAAATACCTAAAAAAGAAAAATAAACATGCTTTTACAAAAAAAAAACACAAATTTCAAAACTCTTGCTCTATTTCATTTTCATATCATACTGAAAAATATTGATTGTAAGAAATTTTTTTAGATAGAAAAAACTATGGACTAAGCCAAACTGATTCAAAATTATGATCGGCACTCTAAAAAAACTTTCTTTAGATTCAAGAAAATGTCCTTGGCTAGCTTTATTAGCATACTCAAAATATATTTGCTCATTCATGTGTTAAAAATTGATTCAATACAATTAGATAAATTATCCTTGAGCGAATCATTTATCAAGGAAAAAAAAAAGACCATGAGCCGACTTTCTTTGATCTATTGAAACTATATTTGATAACTTACATAAAATTTTTCATCATTAGTTTCTAATAAACTATAATCAGGTATTGAAATTGCTAATGATCGTCGATCTGTATAATCAATTGAACTTTCACTTGATTCTTCAGTTGAATATGTATCATAATGTCTTTCATTACTAGCTGAAGCAATAACTTTAAAACAAAAAAAAAAAAACTCATTAAAATAAAATTCAAATTATTGTTGTTCTTTTACCAATAAGATGAAGGTCATCATTACAATTTTTAATTAAATCGACAACTTGTTTATGTGATGCACCTTCAACATCAACACCATTTCTTAAACAAATAAATATAAATAGACTTATTTGAAAAAAAAAAATATATATATATATTCATTACATACACTTGAAGAATTTTATCTCCAATATGTAGACCAGCTTTTTCAGCTGAACTTTGACTTGATACAGCTGATATTTGTTGTAATGGTCCATAAAGTGTACCATGAATAGCTTTTACTTGACCACCTTCAAATATTTGACCACGTACATTAAAACCAAAACCATCATTTGTTTTTTTAATAATTATATTTCGTGGTATTTGTTTTGATATTTGAGAATTTTCAAGACTATTCATTTTTATCAAATAGCTAGTCTATCCGAGCTAATATACTATTAGACCTTATATGAATCACAATTTTCTTAATAAATTTTGTTTCACTTATGCACTCTATTCATTATTTTAAACCACTACATCGTATACGATAATTTAGGCATCTAAAAATTTCAAATTAAAACTTATAATCGAATGAGACACTTTCTGTTAGAGGTAAGCATCTTTACACATATATTTTCGATTACAAAAATTTTGCTTGTGCTGCTCTCTAGTATTTTCATCAAAGTAGATTTTGACAGATTAATAAAAATATATAGTTGCTCTTCATAAGTATATGATAATTATGTTTCTTTTTTAGTTTTTAACTATAATATGTAAAAATATTTGAAATTTATTCATTCTTTGAAGATTTTATATAGATGTCACTAGTATTAAAAAAAATGTACCTTTTAATAATAACATAATATTTCGAACAATATTCATACTGCTGTGTAAAATTCAATTAATTCATTTTTTGATTGGTTGATTATTAAAACCAATGAGCGGATATAACAAGATTTTTTTAACATACATGTGCAAAAATAATATCGATTGTTTTCTTTCTCATCATTTAATGTTTAACACATGACGAATTTAATATGTCGATTAATCTCGTCAATATAATATAATTGTAATGTTTTTTGCGCTTCTTTTATTGTAGATTTTTGCTAGTTATTTCTTCTTATTCATAATTATCACAAAAGTTTGTTGTGTAATTCTTTATTTATTATCATTATAATTTTTTTTGTTAAATTCATATTTAGAATAAATGGCACGAACAAAACAAACAGCTCGTAAATCAACTGGTGGAAAAGCACCAAGAAAACAATTAGCTACTAAAGCTGCACGAAAATCAGCACCAAGTGTAAGTGATAATCTTTACAGAAAAAAAAAAAAGAAAAATCTTTTAAAAAATATAATTATTATTTTATTAATTAATCAAATCGTTACTCTAATGTAAGACACAGTTTGATCATACTATTAAATCCCATGGTTATGAGTCATTTGAGTCACATAGTATTAGATAGATATGAAGAACGAAAATTTGAAGGTTAGTCGAGAGTATGTGAAATAGAAAAGTCCGAATTGCAACGAAGGATAATAGTGAAATGTAAAGGTGTACAGAGGTCGCTAGGATCGATGACTCAGAAGGTTGATTGGAAGATTTTTAATAAAGTTAACCGGATTTTGGAGAGAATAGAAGCGAGGAACTGCCTTTTATCCAAATTGTTTCTGATCTTTTAACTGTTTGCTAATTTTTTGATCATATTTTTCTTTTACATTTTGTATTATTGAAAATAAATAAAACATCTATTTCAAAGAAATTTAATTATTAATTTTATTGTTGGATTTCTTTCTTTAATAGACAGGTGGTATTAAAAAACCACATCGTTTTCGTCCAGGTACAGTAGCATTACGTGAAATTCGTCGTTATCAAAAATCAACAGAATTATTAATACGTAAATTACCATTTCAACGACTTGTTCGTGAAATTGCACAAGATTTTAAAACTGATTTACGTTTTCAATCGGCTGCTATTGGTGCACTTCAAGAAGCAAGTGAAGCTTATTTAGTTTCACTTTTTGAAGATACAAATTTATGTGCTATTCATGCTAAACGTGTTACTGTAAGATTTTTTTTTGTTTTATATATAAAAATTTCAAGTAATATTCTTTGTTTTTAGATTATGCCTAAGGATATTCAATTAGCACGACGTATTCGTGGTGAACGTGCTTAAGAGAATAAATATGTATAGGAAAATAAAAAAATGTATTATTCTTTTTTGATTTATTTCCTTTTCTCAGGATGACAGGTTTTTGTTTTATTGATATACGCACTATGTGCTTAATCAAAAATCTTCTTTCGTTTTGTTATTTCCTTTGAAAATATCAATAAAAGAAATGTATAATCATCTTTTTTTTTTGTGCTTTTCATCTTGAATGAAAATCGATTTCATTTTTTCGTTTATTGTTCTTGTGTTTATGTAGAATTCATTCGTATTTGTAGATAGTTATGGGTATTAGAAAAAAAAAATATTATATTGCGTCATTTTGAAATGAAATAAACATTTATCTTTTTTTTTGTTGTGTTAGTGTATTAAAATTTAACGAAAACAAAAAAGAAATTAATTTTTTGGAGAAGACTAAAAAGAAATACGTTCATCTGTATGTTATTATTATATAATGGACCGAGATCTGGACTTTTTTTTGTTGTTGTTTGCTAACTGGTGTCATAAGGGATGGTTAAAAAGTTTTACTCTCTCTGATCAGTAGTAGTTCATATATTATAATGAGACGTTATGAATATACAACCTATGATCGGAAAGTTTTTAGACAAGATGTTTGTTCATTTTTGACCCAATAGTAAATATTTCTGACGAGTTAAGATACTCTTGTCGAATATGAACTTAGAAATTTTGCATCAGTTTTTGTTCAAGTATACTGAAATAATCTTTGAAAAGTTCAGAAAATTTTTGTATTTTGCAATTTGAAACTAAAAGTTCGAATTTTTGTTTATATATCACCTTGTAGATCACAAGTTATCCTACAAAATTTACTGTTTGAAGTTTTTGTCAAGGTACCTCGAATTCCGTTTTTTCTAAATATTCAATTTTGAAAAATCGACAACCGTTTCATGTTGAAAAGAATTCACAGCTTAGTTTAATATCATATTTAGTAGAGAAGTATCCTCTCTACAATATGACTGACTTCGACGATTTTTAACATATTCGAAAAGAAACTTATTGGATAAACAAAAACCTGTTGACTTATCACTAAAAATAATTTTTGAAGTCTTTCAAAAAGTTCCTCATTACTCTTGAACAAAAATAGACATAAAATTTCTAAGCTCACATTCGAAAAGAGCACAAACTCGTCGAAAATATTTTCCAATGAACAAACATCTGGCACGATCTGTGGAAGGGAAGAGACGGCTCTAAATTTCTAATCCTATACTTCAATACATCTTTTTAGATCGTATTTCATAATATTACATTTTTTGAAAACAGACTTGACTGAGATTAATTATATATTGAAATCTTAGATTTAGCTTATTTTCAAAAAACATCTAATAAGTGTTCTTTATCTGATTACAAGATTTTAAATTCATATTCTGTAAATTCTACCATAATATAGTCATGCCGCTGTTGTTGAAAAGACATTGATATATATAGAAATAAACATGGGATAAAGATCCCATGTTGTATGCATTGTAAATTTAATATTCCGACCAAAATGCAATGTAAAAAGAATCCTTTGGGAGTTTTGCTAGTATTTACAGAATATGAAAAATTAAAATTTTGTTGTCAGATGAAGGAATCTCGTTAGATATTCATCAAAAAGAAGCTGAATATTCACGTGCGAAAAGAAATTTTTCTCCAGAGATGTATTAAAATTTTCATGCATTGACTTCTGACTTTTAAAAAAAAAAATGATTCGTGTTTTTCAAAAATATTTACTGAAGATTAATAAAATTATCATAACATTTATGTATTTTGCAGTATCTTTTTTCATTCTCTTGAAAATTCTATATTTCAATCAGTCAATTATATATCAGTTTATCATAGACAACATCATTTTATCAAGAGAGTCGAAACTTTTGAACCATCCTTTAGTTTATTTTGTATAAACTCTCAGCTAGACAAAACGATAAAATCTTGAAGTTTTATTTTTCTGAAATATATGTTATTGGTTTATCAGTAAATCCATTATAATGATAAAGCAAAAATAAAAACGTTATAGAAATGGCATGTTTATTATACTAAATGTAATAATATAATTGCGCAACGGTCATCTCTGCATATTGTTTTGTTTTGTCTCGTCTACTATGTACTCCAATAACATTTTCATTTAAAAGGAAATGATTATGTCGACTTTATACTTATTTATTACTGAAGGAATATATTTTTTGTTTCGTTTTGAACTATAAATGTTTTATATATGTGTTACACATTTATAAACAAACTAAGACAATACTGGCACAATTAATTAATGATTTTTATTCAATGAATATGAACATTATTCAACAAAAGTTTATTTTCTATTACATTAAAAAGAAATTGTATAGTGCTTTGAATAAAAATTTTTAAAAAATTAGTAAAAAAATAAAAATGAAAATTGTTAAAGATGAAAGTTCGAGTTTTCAGTATATTAGAATTCGAAATTATATTTTTGTTCAGAATAAGTAGAACAGTCTAGGAAATGATTCTTTATGAAATGACATGTCATCGAGTATTCGATGATATTTTTAGCTAAGATATAACAATCATATGTCGTTTTGTTTTTCCTATTTCTTAGGGACAAAGCAATTTTTGGATTGTCATCAAAGTGTTATATCTCAGACAAATCACATTGTAAAGAATTGTTTATTTTATTGTTTTATTTCGTTTGAACAAAAATCATAATATTACAATCTCGATGCTGAAAATGTTTTTGATAATTATTTTTATTCTCTAGTTAAATCATTAATTAAATATTCTATAGTATTTAATGATAATAAAGAAAAATTGAAAATAAATTGTATTAGATAATTTTGATTATTACTGTTAATAGATATGTCAATAAACATTTTATAAACTACTAATTAATTCGTTTTTTTTATGAATATGTCCTAAGTGATCTTGTAAAATAACATGTAATTATAAATTAACTGTCATCTTAGAAGATGCTTTTAATGAGTTCATCTAAAAATAACATAATTATTGCATCAATATATTCTCGTTTGATTTTGTTAATGAATGTATGACAAAAATCTAAATAAAATACTTTTTGAATGAGAAGTAAATTTATTATCAATTAATAGAACAAATTTTCCATTTAGTATGTGTTGATGAAAGATTATAATGTTCGACATTTTCTATCGTTATTATTACATTATATACTATATACATAATAAATTTTGTTTTAATATCGATTTAATGAGAATTAACAATATAGAAAATATTTCTTAGCTATCTTTTAAAATCTATTAGAACAAATAAAGAGAATCTATATGATAAAGATTTTGATAAAATTGCTATTTGATCATTACAATTTTTCTTTTTTAAATTAATATTGCCACTTATTTCAAATAGTAGAAGATAAATCTTTTATTATTTTTATTAATACTATGAAATATTGCATTAGTTTTATAGAAGTATAAGACTGAAGTGTTATTTTAATTCTGAGAAAAACGAAATCACTTGTATAATCAATATTGTTTATAATTCTTCAGATTGTTTTAAAACTTTATAACAATACTTAATCGAGTTAGTTTAAATTCAATTATGATATATATAATTATTATTCACATAGATCAATCATTTAAATATTACATTTAGACTTAAGCATGTGACTCTATAATAAAACAACGCAATACTATTAATAGGAATACAGATAAAGACCTTATTCTTAGTAAATAGATCTATCTCCTTAAATGGTCATATCCGATATTCTTGGAGAAAAATTCATCAGAAAATTTTGAAACTCTCAAGATAGATAGATGTTAATGAGTAGAGTAAAAGTTGTCATAGACTCAAAATTCTTGCATGCTTCACTGTAGGAGATATTGAAGTCATAACATGAGAAATTAGCACTTTCTGCTTGTTGTCATTTATAGCACTTACGTCGTTTTATCTTCTTCCGTTCGGATAAAAATACCAACATTCTGAGAATACCTTCAAAAAAAACGTATGTTTCCTTGTCTTATTTATAACTGAAGCTTAGTTTTTTTTTTTTAAACCAGTAATAACAAAACAATTTCTAGTATAAGTAGAAGAAAGTTTCAACTCGATGATATGTAGTGTCGTTAAGAAACTAAACATAAAAATCTAAAAATTTTTTGATCAGAAATGTTAATCTCTCTTAAATTGAACACCAGTGAATTTACTATTGCAAATAGAAGAATATTTTGTCATTTCATCTGGTAATAATAAAAATTGTTATTCGTCTACTTGAACACATAATAATATATATATATTGATTTATTTTCAAATCAAAATCTATCTGACAATCATTGTCAAAAAATGAAATAGAAAAAAATATATTCTTCCTAAATTTTCTTATTTTTACATTAATTATCAAAATTTATAATATTTAATCAATAATATAAGGAAAAAATATTCGTGAAAAATTCTTTTGATTAATATTATTTATTGTTCGTTTATTTTGTTGATTATATTTTGGACAATCGTCGTCAATTATAGTCATTATTAATGATGAATATTTTCTACCGAATGTATTTAAAATTTCTTCAATTTTTTTTTCATTATTAGCCATACTAATAAAAAATTGAAAAAGAAATTTCAATTGATTTATTTATTGTTTTTTTTTTTTTTTTTATTTGATAAAAATTCATTCTCACCTACAAATATATCCAAGAAATGAATAAGATGATGGTCGAGATGATTGTCGATGAATACGTGAATGAGAATTAAGAAATCGACTCATTTCAGGAAATGGATGATAACCTGCTTCCCATTTACTATTTATATTATGGATTTTATTTCAATATGATAAAATAATATCTTCAAATAACTTACTGATCAATATTAAAATTCACTGGTTGACTGTGAATTTTTATACAACTAAACAATAGAAATAATGTACCGACATAAATCAAACAAACTTTTGAATTCATCAAATTTCTTTTTACGTGTTCAGATTAGGCTACTTATAGCAAAATATGATATTAATAGATAGACTCCATTCTCATATATATATATATAGTGTTACGATGGAAAACAATATTCGTTAATGAGACATGGCTGTCAGTAGGCGTTATTAAAGATAGATACATAGATAGAATGGTAACCATTTCTTAAGCGTAGGCTTCTGTTTATTCATTTATTGAGATTCTAGAACAATTAGAGCTGTACTTTTCTTTCTCATTCATTTTGTTATTGTCTGTATTATATCTTTTAAACGGTTCTCCTGTCAAACGTTCGTCAATCGAAAACAGATTGGTCGATTGTGGGTGTAAACATTGATTCCATTATGTCTTGTCATTCTATTATTATTAACATTAGTCTTGATCAGACCACCTTCACTGTTCATATTTAATTTATTAGTTGAATTTTGTCTATAATTATGTTTCATTGAAGATCGATTAAGATTTGTTGAAATTATTGAATGTTGTGGTAGTCCCGATGATTTAAATTGTATAATTGCTGAAGATGTTGATTTCATTCTTGGAATTGGTTTACAACAACAACAACAACACCATGATGAAAATAGTTCATGAAATTTGATACGAAATTTATCTAAGATATAAAACGTACAATAGAAATAAAAAGAGAAATTTGATATATGTATATATTTGTTACCACTCATAATATTATATATAATTGGATTGATTGATGAATTGAAATAAGGAAGAAAATGTGATATTAATGCACTAATTGTAACAATTTTTATTGTACCCGTACGTTCAAGATAAACTATTTTTGGTTTAAAACATTCAATATTTTCATCTGATTTATCATTTGTCGGTGTTTGTTTAATATGTTCAAAATAGACATAAATATATCTAAATTTATATTCATCAATAAAATCTTTTTGTCTATTGTTTTTTTTTTACCTGAATAAATTAAAAACATGCACTGGAATATAACAAATAGCAAAAATAATTACAATAGATATAAGCATTTTAGCTGCTTTTTGTCGATTTTCTTGAACAATTAAATTAGCTGATTTTGTTGAATTTCTGAAATTATTGTTATGACATTCATCTAAAATATATACAAAAATTTTTCTTTTCTTAATTTTTAATCTATAATTTTAACCTGAAAATATTAATTGACTCGCATTAATTCTATGTTTTTCATCATGAAATATTCTTTCACTTGGTAATGAACCCCAAAGAACACGTGCTATACCAGTATATGCATATACCATAAAACAAAGTGGAATGACAAATAAACAAAGTGATATATGTAATTGATAAAGTAGATCAAATAATGGATCTGCATTCCATTGACAACTAAATTAATTCAATATAATTTAACAAAACAAAAAAAATAAATTAATAAATATACATTACTATGTTAAATAATTTGTTGATAATCGATTTCCAAATTGTCGACTAAGTGTCGTCATGAAAGCATCTAAATATATATTTGAAAAAAAAAACAATTACGTTCTTTTCTTTATATTCTTACACAATTGAAATACAATATGTCTGATGTTCTTTCTATCTATATTTGTATATGTGTAATTTATTGAGTACAATCTAATTTTTTGTTTTATATATTCAAACAGATAACTTACACTTACACAAAAAAAGTCTATCACAATCAATAGAACAATCTTATTAAGTCTTATATTCAAAAGTCATAAAAATTCTTTCATACTATTCTTTTCGTTCTCTAAAAATAAAATAAAATCATTATTATAACCTGGAAGAACAAGTAATAATGAAAGTATCCAAACAGAAAGAATTAAAATTCTTGCACGTTGTTTTGTTCCACTAAATTTTAATGGATGAACGATTGCTTGATAACGTTCAATTGATATAGCCATTAATGTTAATACAGATACAGATATTGACATAGTCTTAAACAAAGAAAAAAACAAGCATAATTGTTTTTCTTCTAAATAATAAAAAAAAAAAGTATTTTATGACTAGGATATATAAGTTATAAAACAATGAAGATTTTATTTTTCTTCTTCTTCTTCAATTCATAAGATATGTTACTTCTACTATTAATTCTTATTATTCAATATATATCAGCTGAAACTGATTTAAAATCCAATGAAACACGTTTAGAAATTGAAAAATTAAATGCACTTAAATATGAACATCATAGTAAAATATTTGGTCTTCAAGCAGAATTTAGTTTTAAAATATTGAATATAACTTATGCTCTATATGAATTAAATATTGATTCATATTATTTTTCAATAACTTTTATTGATGAAGAACATCATGAAGAACGAACTGAAATTGAAGATTTACCAAATAATGAAACAAATTATCATGGTCAATTAAATTTAAAAAATTTAGATGCCGAAGGAAATTATTTAATATGTGTATTTTTTCTTACAAATAATCAAACAAATTTAATTGGTTCAAGTCGTTTTTGTCATGTTGTTTCAATTTCAGACAGTTGTCAATTAGAACAATTAGAAATATCATTTACTAATCAACCGGTTTATATTTTACTTATATTAGTTGTTGTTCTATTAGTAATTGTTGTTATAGTTACATATGTACGTCGTTGTATTTATCGACCACGTAATTTTGAAGAAAGACTTAAAACATTACCAGAACATCATGCAAATGATTTAACGCAACTTGCTGGTCTTAGCAGACGAAGAAACCGTGAATTAACAACATCTCATGATCGTCTACGTGGAGAATCAATTTCTACTATTGGTTCTGTTCCTTATGATGATCATGAACTTGTTAATTATAATGGTTATGATAATAGATCATTAACTACTCTAACTGAATAAAGAAAAATAAAACTTAATTATGCATATTTTTTGAAATAATAATTAAATATGAATGGTTTTTTTTTCTTCTGACACTCTTTATGTCTTTCGTATAATAAATGAAAAGAATAAAACAAAATATACCTGTGTATAATTAACAAATTTACAAAGAAATAAACCAAAAAACCATGTTTTAGTTACATCTTGAACAACTGTAGTTGGTAAACAAAATAGAAGTACTAAAAGATCAGCTGCAGCTAAATTCATAATAAACATATTGGTCACTGTTCTAAAAAAAAATACAAGATTATAAATATAAGAGATTATTCTGTTTTTATTTTGTTTTATTTGTTGTATACAACCTCATACTTCGATTTCGTTGTATAACAATAATTACAAGTAAATTACCAATTGTACCAACAAAAAATACGATAGCATAAAGTATAATACATATCCATTCATAATATGTTGGTATAACATATTTTAAAATTAAATCAAGTACCATTTTATCCGATAAACAATTACCATTAATATCAATAAAATAACAAGAACTTGAATTATATGAACATAATATTGATGAATTCATTATTTTTAAAAAAGAAAATAAACTGAATAGTAAACGAAAGAATTTCTAGAATGAAAAGAAAAATTTAATCAATATACAATTAAAAACAAAATAAAAGAAATAAGAATGAATACTCAAAGATAAGTTATGAAATATGATGAGTTCTCTCTCTCGTCATTGTGTAGGTGTAGAAAATAACAAAAGTAAAAGAATGAAGAAGAAGAAAAAAAAAAACAAATAGCTATCTATTGATTGAACATCTATTATGAAAGTTTATTTTAATAGTTTATGTTAGAGAAACATACACACGTATCTTTTGATATAAATAACTTAAAGGAAATATTCAACTGACACAATCAATTATGAAACGTTTTGTTTTTTCTGTATATATATATTAGCAATAAATAGAATATGAATATAATGTTTGGAAAAGAATTTTCTAGTCTAGCTTATTATTTATAATAAACAATGTTTTTTTTTTTGTCAACACCTCGACGATTGATATTAATGCGATAACAGTGAAACTTAGAATTTTTCTCAGTATTTATTTTTGTTTTTCTTCTTAATATGAATAAGTTTGTGTAAGAAATAAATTATTCGACTATACTTTTGTTTGTTGAAATTTATTTGAAAATAAACATTTTTCTCAATTATTATATGACAAATAGAATAATATGTAAAGCTATTTAGGTTTGTTAATAGATACTTTTTTTTGTTTTATTAATGTTAGAAGAACACTAAATGTGACGACAAGTTTTCTCTCTCATTTTCTCTTATTTCTCATTCATTATGTAGAAGACAAGTAAAGGAAAAAAAAAGAAAGAAAATTAATAAATACAGAGATATGCTTGACGTTCGTTTTTGATATTTATCTTACAAATGTATCATACAGTCTTTTCTACAATATAAGACTATCTGCGTAGTTAACACAGCAATATAATTCATGTCAAATGTATATCTTTATATATATATCAATAATTATCAAGTGAACTAACATTTCTTCTTATACAATATACTTTGAATTATAATAGATGCTATCATTGACATGTCAAGGAACACAAGATCTTATAATTGTGAGCCAATTTACTCATATTAATTTTTCTTCTGTCTCAAGATGTAATGATGATGAATGTATATTGTTATATAGAAAAGTAAAAAGTATAGAACAAAAATCCTTTAATAAAACAAAAATATTTATTTTATCCATTTTATTATATTAAATTCTAAGACATTGAAAATATGTAAGGTTTGTTACTATATTTATATATATAAGTCCTTGAGGCTTTGATGTTTTTAAATCATTTCAAATGAATAATATGTTTAAAATAAATACATTTTGAAATTTCTTTTTTTTGTTTTGTTTTATATTCGACATCTACAAAAGTGACTATTGACAATTGCAGAATGAAATACATTATTTAAACATATATAATCCTATTTCTTGTTTTCTTTATGTATATTCTTTGATATATTCAATTTCATGTTTTGTTTTAAATAGTAAGCAATCCAAATACTTCTTCTCTATCCATCAAATACAATAAAACTTCTACAAAAAAAAAGAGCAAGAAAAAAAAAAAAGATAAAACTCATACGTATTATTATCATTATTATATTGTAAAAGTTCGTCAAAGTGCTTGTAGCTACTTCATCGATGTCACTTAGACATATGTCCTACGTGCATAAGATTATAACATCTCATTAAAATCAGAAATATTTGATTTTAACAAAAGTGTAAAAAAAACTACGAAGATTTCATGTTATAAAGGTAGTAAATGGAAATGGATTTGTTCGTTTGGAAGAATTTAATTTGTAAAAAATTGTTCATCAACCATATTAAATGATATATGTCAGTGATCTTAATCAATGTCATTATGTGTTTTCTGCTTGAAAAAGTACTTCCTTGTTCGATTTGTCATAGTTAATACTTCGACATTTATATATTTTGAATAATAAATCAAAGCTAATCTTGAGAAAATTATAACTTCAGAAGAAAGAATAAATTAGAATGTTTTTCGAAGTTAAACAAAAAAAAAATACTTTAAATATCAATTATAATCTCAAAAAAAAAAAAAAAATAAAATAAAACTTCTTTTTTTCTATTGACAAAAGATAATGAGAAAAAGAAAACAATAAGAAATAAAATGATTATATTAATTTCAATAAATATCTCTAGCCGTAGATTCTTTCTTGCCATCAAATAGTAACAATGAAAGTAATAATAATAATAATAATAATTATCATTTAAAAAATGTTTGTGTTGATGGATCTTGAAATGTTATAATTGGATTATTATTAGAATCGTTTGTATTAGAATTATTAAAACTATTTGATGCAAAAAAACCTGAAAATTTATTTGATCTTGATGTCATTTTTCTAAAAAGAAAATAGATATTGTTTTGATTTTATATTTTTGATTTTATATAAGTATTCAAATAAAACAAACCGATGAGCATTTTCTACAAGTGCCATTGGAAATTGACCTTTTTTAACTAAACCAAGATCAGCTTTGATTATATTACGACGATAATCTATGAAAATATATTTATATAGAATAGAAAAAAAAAAAGAAAAATCTATCATTCGATAAAATATATTCATTTGTCAAAGAATCATAACACGAATATAATTACTAACAAGGAAATATTCCAAGGTATCAGTTAGCTTTGTAAACGTTACAAAGTGTATCTTTTAGATCTTGATGAATACTTTTTTTATTGTGAATTTTCATTATAAGATCTCAATTAGATTATTGTGCGTAGAATTTTTCGACTAACGAGGGAAAATTTCCAAGTTCGATGAGCTGATTTCCCTGGTTGTTATGGCACTTAGATGTGCTATATATATAAACGTTATATGTATTATCCATATATGATGTTCGTTCTCTTTCTTTCGTTTCATGCGCGTATAGTTAACTATGTCTATTCTTTCGTTCTGTTAGATATTTTTCCTAATGGGTTCTTTTGCTTTCTTCTTGTACTTTCGTTCTTTTCTTTGATCTAACAACTCTTGTTCGTTTTCTTCAATATCTATTGTTATTCCTTTTTTTCTTCTCTCGTAAAAGTCAAGGAAACGCTTTTCTTAACCTTGAATTGAAATAATTGCGCAGTGAGTAATGCGTGACTATATATATATATAGAGAGAGAGAGAGGCAGAGATTTATAAGGAAAAAGAGGAAGTTGTGATTTTTGATTCAACAAAATATAACTGATAAGAAAACATATATAACATCTTAAATATAACAATATACACATCAACGTAAATAAGGACATAACAGTGGTATAGTTCGTTTTTTCTCAATAGAACTTCAAATGCAAAAAGAACTGATCGATTTTACTAGTGAATTTCTACATTTTTCATAGTTGTTAGAAATTTAGATCATCAAAGATAATTCATTTTTAGATGATCATGCTATAGAATAGAGAATGCCGCATGCAATGATCTATTTTTATATTATTTTCGAAGAATTGGGAAACAGTATTTTCTTGTAAAATTTATTTTCATCATTGCTATGAATTTTAATTGTTGATTTATTACACTTGAAAGTGTTTTAGTGCTTCCGAGAGAAAATGTTGTTATGTATTCAGAAGATAAAACTGAATTCACTCTTAAAATAATATAAAATTAAATCATCACATGCGGCATTCTCTATTCTATAACATGATCATCTAAAAATAAAGTACCTTTGATGTTCTAAATTTCTAACAACTATGGAAAATGTAGAAATTCACTAGTAAAATCGATCAGTTTCTTTTTTGCATTTGAAGTTCTATTAGGAAAAAAACGAACTATACCACGAGAATCAGTTCATCGAGTTCTACAATCTGAAATATCTCCCATTTGAAATGATGATTCACACTTGAGGATTTTCACTTGTAAGTTTCTCCAAGATTTGAAATATTCAAGAAATACATATTGTATATACTATCTATAGATTCTAATTGAGATCTTCATGTAGATTAAAATTTGAAAACATGATCTCGTTACAAATATATGAGGTACTTATTGTGAAAACTTATTAAAAACATTCTTTTTCCCCTTAGGAACAGACCATAAGCATGCTTCACTAAGATTTACAAGATGCACTAATTAGTGACTAACAAGCTAAACGATACCTGGAAATATCCTCGATTGTGAGTTTAAAATAATAGGACAATAATCTTGTAGATTCGCAAAGAAATATTCTACTGTTAAGTGTAATCAAAATTATTAGTTTAGTTTTAATTTTCTAAGATGTTCAATAGCATAATCATAGATCAAAGGATGACTCGAACGGTTATAGAAGATTTTCATTGATTTGATAAATGTAATAAATTTATGAATCATAGAATTGTATTAATTTATCAATCATAAAAATAAGCAACCCAAATAATAGTAAATAGGATATATACATATATATATTAAAGCGACAAAATACCAAATCTGAATGAAGATTGACGAGGAATGGCTAAAATATAATATTTGTTTCATTAAAACAAAAAAACAAAAAGAATCACACAGAAATCAAAGAAAAGAATGTCATTCGTTAAGCGATACGGTAACAAAGGTACCGACCTGGCATTTGATGTATTGCCATTGATCGCGCTCGCGCGACGTTTGAACGAATAGTTGGGAGAAAGACAGAAACTATTGATATACATATAATTATATACAAAAATCCTAATTGTCTATATCTATCTATAATATTTTCAATTTTTTTTTAGTATATCATAACTTACAACCATGATTTAAATAATCTCCTGATCCATCATCAAAATCTGGTCTTGATTTTTCTCTTGTTGTTTGTGCTTCACGTGAAGCTTTCCAACTCATTAAAAATTGTCGAGAATTATCTGTTATTTGTTTTCCATCAAGCATTTCTATTTTATTAGAATTATTAATATAATATAATATAATGTAAACAAAAAATTGATTTACCTAATGTTGTTGATACAACAATTAATCGTTCACGATAACGTGCTTTTGTACACATTGGATTTCGACTTGTATCAAGTCGTTTTAAATGTGACCATATACTTAAAAGTTGAATAAGTTCACGAAGATTTTCTAAATTATTATTGCTTGCTGTTAATTCTTCTAATTTTTGTAAACAACTTAATTCAACTAATGAATCTAAATTATTGCCACTAACATTTAAAACTTCTATAAAATAAAAATTTTTGAACATTCTGATTTTTTTGCTTTTTTAAATATTTTTTACCAAGAACGTGTGATAAACATTGTAAAGTTCGTGGTTCAAAAACAAGTTTTTCACCTTCAGGTAAACGTTGATTTTCAATATAAATTTCTTTTAATTGCATACATTTATCAAGACCTTCAAGAACTTGAATTTGATTACCACCAAGATATAATTTTTGTAATTTTGGACAATAATCTAAATTTTCTAATTTTTGTAAACGATTATTTTGTAAATAAAGATGTGTTAAATTTTCAGCAAAATTCAAATTTTCAATTTTATTTAATATATTATCATAAAGATAAATTACTGTTAATAGACGACAAGGTGGAATAGAATCCTAACAAAAAAAAAATTAAATTAAATTAAAATGAATATGTAAATTAAAACAAAGTCTTAGAATATGTACAATAGAATCAATGCCTCGATTTTGGAATGGTAAATGTGTAAGACGTGAAAGATAATGTTCAACTGATTCATCAGCACGTCGTTTATTATGGCCAGGTGTTTGTTTAGCAATAACGTCAGCTGTTAGTTTTACCATTTCGAATATTATTTAACACGTAAAAAAAATAGCAGAAACAAGTTATAAAAAGAAAAAAAAGAAAGTTGACATCAGATATTTATTATCTGTTTGTTGCGAAGCAACGACCCTCAAATCGGTTTACAATTGGTTAAAAATAGAGAAAATTGTCATAGACTATAGAAATAAGTGTAAGTTAGAGTATTATAAAGAACAAATAAGATTCTATAGACACATTTTGAAATTGATCGTCCTCTCATAACCTATTTATATCATTTTGTTTTCTAATGATACAACTTTTTTTTATATAATAAGTTATTCAAAAATAGAATTTATTTTATACTTTCGATCATTGTTAGTGCTTATCGAGATATTATCAATTTATAATTCAGTACCCATGTCCATGTGGTATACTGTAAATAGTGTTCAATAATAATCGCCGAATTGCTATGCATATAGTATCTCGATCTTATTGCATAATATCGATTTCAAGAGAACATAGAATGTGATTAAGCATATATATCTTAATCTTTAATAGTTTGTTTAAAGGCTTCATAGTAATAGATTTACTATCTGCAACTAGACATCTACGAGTTCAAGCTCCATGTTTCCAGTAATAAAACAATTTTTTTTTGTATTTGGAATAGTATTTACGAGTATAAAACAAGGACCAATGAAAGAACGAAATTGTGATATTATTGAAAACTTTTAACCTGAATTCTTAGAGACGTAGTTGCTAATAGCAAATGTATTAGAAATAAAAATAATGCTAATTTCATGCTAACGCCTTCATATAGAATAATTCTACTGCGAAACAAAACCAAAGTATTAGAATTAATTTTAGTACCAATTCTAAAGCGTAAACATCTTTCTCAAATAACAATACTAATATGACACTTCTATTCATTTCGGAATTCATTCTTACAAAAAAAAAACAACATAAATGGTATTGACTTGAAGTATGTCATGAATAATGGATCATCTAACAGTTTCTGACATAATCATAAACTCGTTTTCTTATACTCGATATCTGTAATGAAACTGATACATTAGATTAGAAGTGATGAGTATGTTGATAATGCTATTAAGGTCTCCCCCGTCCGCACAAAAGAAAAAAAATGAAAATTAAGATAAATACATGGGAAGATAACCTGAGTTCTGTTCTTTCAGAAGCAACATGATTTTTTATTTGGCGCCAGAATTTTCGATGATATTCGTCATCTTATGATTAAAGAACAATAGTTTTTCAAAGAAATCGAAAATGTTTTTCGTTTTTTACTCTGTGAGCCTTCACTCTATACATTTAATTTTTTTTCCACTTGAAAGAGCATGTCAAGGCACAGTGTAGTGCAGAGTCTTGTTTTTAATTAAGCTATGTTTTTACTATATATACAAACATTTATATGAATGAACATCTATTTTTAGAGTCTTTTGGTTCATTGAACTTGTGATTTTTGTCTTCGCTTAAAAAGTAAGAATTAAAAAAAGGGTTCTGTTTCGCGCTCCATTCTGAAATGTTCTTTCGAACAAAAAAGAAAATTAAATATATAGCATAAGCTTGGGCAGAGAAATTTGGTCTGCCAAATGAGCTATTTTTGACCCTCGTTTGATGAATATCTCTACTAGAATATCTTACTTTCCTTGTCACAGCAGACACATCGACCGCATCACCAGTCTTCAAGTATCATTGTATTTTCCAAAAGGATTCTACGCACTTTTGCTTTCATGATTTGAACTATCTTTGTATTTGTCAAGTTGATCATTACCGAGTCGACTGTTTCCGATATGATTTTCTTCTTGATCATTGTGATTTTTGTCTGTCTGGCGGAAAATGTGTAAAAGGCGATCTGAATGATCCTAATGATTTCATTTGTCTTTGTCCACCTTGTTGTCAAGGCCAATCTTGCGAATTCAGCGTACAGGCCTTTGGATTCACGGTGGATTCCTTGCTTGTCTCGAGCTCGATTGCAGTTCAATCAGTCTACATTGCTCTGGTCTGCCTGCTCTTTGCCATTGGCCTTTTCGCCAATCTCTGCTCTGTTGTGACATTCAAGCGACCGCAACCTCGAAAACTTGGCATCGGTAACTATCTCTTCATCGTCACCTTTCTCAATAAAGGTGCTTTACTCTGTCTTCTCTTCAAATTTGTCCACATTCTCGCTGGATCATCCGGGATTATAAATGACAAATCGTGCAAATCAGTGAGCTATTTACTTTCTGTTGTTACTCGAGCCACCTATTGGTTAACGATCTGGATCACTGTCGATCGGATTTTCATAATTCTGTTTCCCACTTCCACTACCTTGAAAGAGCCTCGCTTCGCCATCTTCTCAAGCATTGGAACCATTATCGTCCTTCTCGTCATGCATTTCCATGAAATTTTATTTTACGTCACAATTCGCCAAACAGACTTTTCAGCTTTACTTTGTGTGACCAACTACACTCAGCAAGCGGTGATTACTTACAATCGAGTATCCACTCTTTTTCATTATTTCGTTCCCTTCTTCATACAGGTTATTTCGATTACCCTTCTAATTATCCTGGCTGCTCGGAATCGAACCAAGGTCTCCAGGGGGACAACAACATTTGGACAAGTGTTGAAGAAATTATTCAACGCACAGAAGGAACTCTATGTGACGCCTGTCATCATCATACTCTCAGCTCTTCCTCAAGCCATATTTTCCTTCAGTTTAGCTTGCACTCAGTTGAGCGATTGGAAACGACACGTCCTTCTCGCTACCTACCTCCTATCTTACAGTCCCCAACTACTAGGTTTTATTCTCTTCGTTTTGCCATCCAGTGCGTACAAGAAAGAATTTGGTAAGACACTACTAGCTGAAAGACTATTCAAGTGGATATTCAATTCAAAGACAGCCATGAAACAAATATTCCACATTCAAGTGACTACCATCATGAAAAGGACAAGTACTCTTAAATGAACTCTGTATCGATCCAAGCCTTTAACTGCATTGCTATATGTGACTTCTTCAGAATATCTGCTCCTTTCTTCTAACCATCTGACAACTAGAACTATTCCTCAACATTATTGTACCATAGAACCAAAAGAATATAAAACATAAGCTGTGATTTAATTATCGACAATGTTTTTCAATGGTCCAGTACTGATGTAGAGCTTGTTAACCTTTCTTGCCTCTGTTACAAATGAGAAAATATTCTATAGAGTATGAACAGTAAAAAATGAACGAGGGTCAGACAATTCCCTTCATTGATTCTCTTGAAAGTGACAAAAAGGGGTGTGGGTTGGTGCGGATGAGGGTGTGTGTGGGTGTGTGTGCTTGTGGGTGGGTGTAGGTGTGGATGTGTGTGAGTCTGGGTGGTGGGTGTGGGTGTGTGTTTCTAACTATACCCACACCCACACCTTTAAATTTTCTTAAACTAAGCTAGCCGGATTCAATCGATGATTTACACAAAGCCACGGATAGTTTTGACAATACTTCGCAACCGAAGTTTTTCATATCCGATTGGCACGAATCATAGAGTAGGAAATGAATTCGATTGTTTTTCATGCTAGAGTTCTTTATAGCGGCCCATCCCAAGATCAACAATCGAAGTTTAGTCATTGTTAATATTTCCTATAATTTTTATAGTCATTCAATCACACGTTTCGAATTTAATTGAATAACTCGCTTCATTGTTGAAAAGTAGGCAAAGTATGATTGGACTATGTTATTGCAACGAATTTTCTCGCAATAGATTTTCCATGCAACAAATTGTCCTGCGACGCATTGTTCGATTACTACATAGCATTCTGTTTTCAATAATAAATACTCGACTTGATTTATTACAATTATCTAACTATTGTATTACAAAATAAGTTCTAAACTTTTTTTTGTTTTTTAGGCAAATTT